GACAGGGTCCCTCAAGCTGAGCATCTCTGGACTTGGACCTCTTGTTCCCCATGGGGCCTGCCCTGCCCCTCACTCAGGCCCAAGCAAGTGGGAAGCTGAAGATCCTGAAGGGCAGGACACGGTCCAGCCTCACCTGTTCTGCTAGCTCTCCAAACGGAACGAAGGAAGAGCTTTTCCATGCCGCACGTGATGGACACGAAGGGAGAAGATCCAGAGATGCTTATTATGTGGAGCACTTCCCCAGCCTGTGCCACCGTCTGCAACCCGGTTGCTCAGGTTCCTTCCGTAGGAATCAGCCGGACTTGGCCCGTGGGGGAAATCTGTCCACACGTGGGGGAACCTCCTTGGCCAGAGACCCCGGACACCGGGACAGCCCCCGTGCAATCCTAGCCATAGGCACGCCCACAGCAGCCTTCGAATAATTCCCAGCACACCAGCAACATGCAGCTGGCAGGACCCTTGGCTGAGCTTTCAGGAAAACAGCAATTTTGCAGCACACGGCTGGCCAGCCATCACTCTGAGCCTGGAGATGCCGTGCCAGTCCAAACGGGGCCCCGAGACCAGTAAGAAGGGGTGCCACATGCCAAGCAGACCCTGAGAACTCCCAACACATCCCCCAGACCCCCGTCTCACCCCAACCCTTCAGCATCTGCCCCCCCCCCCCAAATCCCTCTCCCTCGGCTTCAGGCTGAAGAAATAAGCAAGTGGCCTGAGGGTGCGGCCTCCATCCAACAGGGGGCAGCGCTCAGAGCAGACACGGCCACGCAAGTCTTTGGCCTCTGCTAGGCTTCCACTCAAGCAACAGCTCCTTCCGCAAGGATTCCCTCCACCTTGCAGTGCTTTTTGGCTACCATAACTGCTCTCCGGACGTGACCCCTGCCTTGCTACGCTTCCTCCGGGACCCAGCCCTGTACAGGGCCCTGGGATCCTCCAAGCCGTCCGCTCCACTGCCCCGTGGGTTCCTCTTCCCGGCCGGATTTGGTCCAACCAGCAGCAGCAGCAGCAGCAGGAGGGCAGCGCCTCTCGCTTACTGGCTGGACATGCCTTCCCCCTTCCGCCTGCACAGCCTGGAACTGCCTGCCCTCTGGGCTGCTGAATTGTTCTCTGTTAACACGGCCTGGCGAAGACCTGGATTCCACCCTCGTGCCAAGTCACGGAGAGCGTGGCCTCCAGGCAGATGGCAGAGAAAGTGTCGGGGAAGGAGTGCTGGCAGCTCCGAACAAAGAGCACTCTCTTAAAAACCCCAGCCCAGAGGTGGCCACGTGTTCCGGAGGGCCAGGCTGCCAAGGAGCGCAAGAAACCAGCCCGTTAAAATTTGAGCACCCTTTTTTTTACGGCAACTGACGTAAAAATGCACACGGTGTGAGAGATACGGCCACAAATGCGAGTTGTCTGTTTTCTGGGCAATCTCCGCAGTACTGGCGCTGTCCTTGGTGCTGAATGCCTCCCACAGCCTGGCTCCTCCAGAGAGCAGCCTGCCGAGTCAGACCTTTGGTCCATCTGGACCAGTACAGCTGGCACTGGCTGGCAGCAGCAGCTTGTCAGGGCCTCAAGCAGGAATTTTCCTGCTTTTCCCTGAGGATGATGGGAACTGAACCTCCTGCACACAAAGCAAGGGTTCTACCACCATGTTTACCCTGCATCCACATCCTGCCGTTTGTCCTCTTGAGAGGGAGAACGCGGCTTCCCCTTCCACCGCTACCTCTCCATGTTATTCTCACACCGACCCTGTGAGGTCAGCTGGATAGACAGCAGCTGGCTCCAAATTCCCAAAGAGCTTCAAGACCAAGAGGGGACTAGAACCCAGATCTCCTGCATCCCCGTCCCAGCACTTCAGCCACATTAAAAACCCTAAAAAAAACCTCCTTGCACATATTGCACCAAAAACCCTACAGTGCTTTCAAGACCAAGGTCAGGCAAAATGGGACACCGTCCAAACTCTTATGGTGAAAAGGAGACGCAAAGTCCCATGACAGGAACCGCAACGTTTCGTTCCTTGGAGAGCGCAACACTTGTTGAGTTCGGTTGTGCAGCCTACATCTGAGCCCCTTCTTCAGAGATCCCACTCTCAATGTAGCCTGCAAAGATCTCGGCAAAAAATAATGCATGTCTCCAAGATTAATCACAGTGCAAAGTCTCTCCCTTCCACCAAACGACTCTCAAAGACCAGCCAGTTCAGCCTGGCATGAGCTTCCACACACAAGTATCATCCGTCTTTGGTACACAATGTGGATGAAATACATGTGTGTGTACACTCTAAACTTGTACAAAATCTAGAACCCGGATAAAATGTCCCCTCCCTCCCTCACACACACACACAAATTCTCAAAGAGAAATTTGACCCCATAAAAGATTTCCAAGCCTTTGCAGATGCTAGAGCTGTGCTACCCAGAGGGATTAACAGAGCTGGCACAATTTAAATCACAGGTACTCTGGATTAACTGTTTACATAGGACTGCAACAGGCAAGCGGCTGAGGTGAATAATAAAAACTGCCATCCAGCAACCAGACATAAATGCTTTCATAAATGAGAAAGGCAGCTTGATGCAGGCGGGGGGTTTTTGCTTCACTACTTTTCAATGTACCGTGAAAGAGAAGCCCATGTAATGCACAAGCAGGATAAAATGGGCTAGCACCCTTTGAAAACCTGACTGTTCTCTTGCCAGGATCAAAAGAAGGATTAAGGGGTTTGGAGATCACCATCTTCAGATATCCCAGCAATGGCTTCCTTAGGCCCACAGTGTGGACAAAGCGCCCATGCGTGTCTCTGTACACACGCAAAACTTGTACAGCATGAACAAGATCTGGCACCTGCATCGATTTACACAGTGCTGAAGAGTGAATGTTTTTGCCTTTCATCAGAAAGACACGCGGGGAAATCCTAGCAGGGATTTGACACAATAGAAAGGGTGCCGGGTGGATTAACAGAGGTGGCAGGATTTTAATCGAAGTGTGCCAGTGCTTTCCTCCTTAACTTTCTCCTTTAACATACCCTGTGACAGCAAACTCATGTGTGCGGAATTGAAATGGAGGCAGGGAACATTTTCCCTGTGGCCATTTGCTCCTCCCCCCCCCCCCCCCCCATCTTCTCCCCTGTGCCAGGTTTTTAAATTGTGAATTCCTCCAAGCTTGGGAACCATCCAAAGCATTGATGCTGCTTTTATACCAGGCATGGTTTCACCCTTAATAACAATAATGCATATAAACTGAAAAGAGGCTTGTTAATTGCCTGGGCACTGTTTCTTTTTCTTATGGCCATGCTTGTTTTCATGGATCACTTTGAGGCTTTGATTTCCATCTGGATTTTATTGGTAGCTGCCCTGAGAGCCAAGTTTTTACGGGAAAGTGGGAAAGAGAACTGCAGCTCTCTCTTGCGTATGCAAACACACAGCTAGAGAAGGACAGAGCTTTCCTGGAGCTATCTTGGGGCTGCACAAAAGAGGCTCACTACCACGGAGCTCTGCAGAGACAATGCTCAGCATAAAAGCTGCCATGCATCAGGAGCCCCTTCATTACACTCCACATGGCTTTGCTCAGCAGCCAATAAACCATCCACATGAAACATAAAAAGCAAGATGCTGGGGAATTCTGTTGAAGGCATGCAGACCCAGCAAAGGGGTGGAATGAGGACAATTCACGCCTGCCACTCGCCATCGGCGAAGGCTGCCTTGGGCTAGACGGACAGGCTCCTGCAGAATGGCAGGCACTGGTTTGTTCCAGCTTGTTCTCAGACTCACGCAAGAGCATGTAAAACTTGAGAGGGGACCTTGGACCCCTGTGTGGCTAGCAGTGGCCCAGAGGGCACAGGTGAAGGCCCTGAGCAGCCCCGTGACCGAGGACGAGAGGGTTCAAACGGCGAGGGGAGGCCGGGGGCAAGCCCCTTCATGCAATACATCTTGCCTGGGGCTCTCTCCGCCTCGGGGGAGCCATTGCCTAGAGCTCTCCACATCTGGAATTAAAGTTCCGCTGTGCTGCAGTTGCTTCCTGCAGCTCACGCCAGCCCAGCCATCTCTAACCAGGGGTTCTTTGGGGGGCACAGGACTAGGGCAGGAGGGGTGGGGGTGTCCCAACTCCCATGGCAGAGCATCTGGTTGTGGAAGAGTTCTCCTCACCTAACTGGTCGCCCAACCACGGGCAGCTGGAAAGAAAGCCAGCATTCACCTTGCGTCCATAGGAACGTACCTGCCAGAAGTGAGCGACAGACCCTCTGCCCCTGTCTGCTGGTTCCCCCATCCACAAAGCAGACAGCCCCGGGTTCAATTCCCAGCACCCCCGGGTAAGCAAGAATTCCTGCCGGAAAGCCCGGCATGCCAGGGCTGCCAGTCAGAGTCTGCCGTGCTGGGCCTGATGCAGTAAAAGGCATCCTCCACGGCTCCTTTGGGAAGGCTGTAAGGATGACAGGAATTCTCTCCCAGTGGCAGTGCCCCCCGTGCTCTTGTGCCCCCCAGAGGCACGAATGGCCCAGTTCAGGTTTGTACACCCAAATCTGAAGCCCCGTCGGAGAGTTTAGACCGAAGCAAAAGCCCTCCCTGGAATTTGACGGTGGCCTTTCCTGGCAGGAGTTTTACGCGCCGAATTAGGAGGCACCGATCCTCACCCTGCTGGAAGATTTGGGGACTGGGAACGCCCCATGCCAGACACGACTTGGGGAGTGTGCGTCTCCCCTTCATTCAGCCCCGTCTGGACCCCTTTCTCAGGCCACCTTCGTCGCCCCTTCATTATTCCCTCCCCAAAACACGCACGGGAGGAAAATGCGGAAGTTCGGCGCCGTTCGCCCGGGAATCCCGTCTCCCCGCAGCTGATGGGGCGGCGGCGATGGGGGCAAGGCTCCCGGAAAGGTGCGACTGCCGCCCTTCCCCAAAACAGACCCCCGTCTGGAGCTGAGAGATCAGCGCCCGCCCCTCCCTCCGGCTAAAGGCACGCAAAGGAAGGCATATCCCGTCCAAGGGCTCCCCGGATCGCCGCGGTGGGGGAAGGACTTCGGCGCGCGCGGCTCTCACCTTTGAAGCAAACCTGGCACGCATCGCCCACGGGACTCGAGCATCCGGCATACGAGGATTAACTCTCGCTCGCATCTCGGGGAAAGCCACACTTTTTCCTCCCGGCGCGGCGCAGCAGGAGCCATCCAAGCATTCCCAGTGCAAGCAGACCACGAAACCGCCGTCGCGCTCGGGCGCGGGGCAGAGAGGCGCCCCCGAGCCTCTCCTGCAGACGGGAGACAAAGCGCCCCCGCCCCGCCCCGCCCCGCCCCCCCCACGACCCGCCCGCGCTCCGAGACTTGGGCACCGACCCGGGAGGGGGCGGGAAAGCCTTGCTCTTGCTCGCCTCGCGGGACGGAAGACGCACGCCCCCTCTCCACGCGCTCAGCCGCTGGGCGCGGGGGCAGAGCCGGCGGGACCCCCCCGGCGCCCGCCAAGCGCGCTGCTCGGCCGGGACGCGCCCGCCGCGCCCC